CAATATGATTTCTTTTGTATAAAATATTCAGTATTATGTGCTTAATGCTTGTGTAATTATTTTTGTTGGTTCATTTCTTTCAACAGAATTTCATAGATAAATTTGGGATTAATACTATTTTTGGTGATTGTAGATGTCACAAATCAAGCATGATATTCTTTTATTTATTATTATTATTATTATTATTATTATTATTATTATTACTTTTGGTGGAACCAGGGATTGAACTCAGGCCCTTGTGCTTGCCAGGGAAGCACTTATTCCACTGAGCCATCTCCCTGGCCCTATGATATTCTTATAATGTAAAAGTAGACTGTGCACCAGGGATAGGAAATATGTTTTCCTCTCTGAAATACAATGATACTTTGGAATGGTGAATACCTAGAAAATTATGGGAATTTCTCTCCATATTTAATTTAAAGTACATCTTTTAGAGTCTTCTCTGAGTAAATTTTAGAGATGGAAAGTATTTTAAAAAGCATCTCATGTAGTCTTTTAATTGAGAGAGTTGGAACCTCATGGATTATATAATTTATCCCATGCATAACCAAAGTTTCCTGTGTATTTTCAGCCAAGATCTTTTAATTCTGCACATTAAATCATGTTACTTGAAATACATTTAAAAAAGAAATACATTGACATAAGTAGTTATTTTAAACCAAGAATCCTGTTCCTAATAACCTGAGGATTCCATGAAGATTCTGTACAGAGTCTCTGGAGAAAATCACCATCTGAATTAGCAGATGTAAGCTGTGGTATGCTGTATTTTTAGGTCAAGTCCCTTTCCATCACTAAATATGGTCATCAGATGTTTAAATTTAGTTCTTAATAAATGTCAAGTTTTGATAATGCAATATTTTAAGAAAATGTCTGAATTTTCATAGCCTACATAATCATCATTAAAAAATAGAAAGACTGACACAATGTAAATATTACCATATGTTTGAAGGTAGAGTTTGAGAAGTTCATTGGAAACCTGGATAAGGAATTTATGAACTTGAAGTCTACTGTAATGTGTAGTAATTAACATTCTCTGTAACTACTCTCAAGATGTCATTACATAGTCTATGTACAAGTGACATTTAAAGCCCTGAATTGTTATATATTAGAATAAAGAATTTAAGAGGGAAGATGACAACAGAGGTATAACCATGATATGATTTGATCTATTTGTGAACATAAGAGTAATGATGTGATCCAAATTATTTGGGCAGGGAAGCAGAGGTTGATCAGTCCTTGAACTGGCATAGGAGTGGATGAAAAGGCCCAGGAGGTGTGCTGTATCCTAAGGAAGCCCCATTGGAAACTCATATCTGTTGAGCTTCTTACCATCCATCAAGGCATTCATCCTAATGGGCAAAGTTAAGCCACACAAAACTCTGAAAGACAGCTATTATTACCTTTATTATATAAATGAAGAAAAAGACAGAATAAAACTAAACACAGAATAGTCCTGGAAAGGTTAACTATCTCTTAAGTTCACTCTTTTAACTATTAAATGGAAGGACTGGACCTTATTTCAGCTCTTTCATGCTGTAGATCCAATATTCTTTCCTGACTACTTCCTGCAAGCACTTTTGACTACTTCCTGCAAAACAAACACTTTTGATAGATAAGAGAAATATTTGGGATTTGAGACCACATTTTCATAAGTTGAAAGCTTTGACATCATTGGGAATGGAAGCTTACTGGGCTCACATCAAGGCATGGAGCATTGGGGGGATAACTAGACACAAACCATAACAGTGGTGGAATGATTTCTTGTGGTTCCTCATTACTTTTAAGAAAGTTTTGTTTTCATGATCACTAAGTGCAATCCTCCCTTCTATATCCGTGATTCTACCCTCCCATTGGCTTATTCTGCTGCTGATACTTTCCATGGAATTTTTAATCTCCTGAATATCTGTTTGAATTTGTTTCATCTATGCCACTTCTTTCTTGTGTTGGGAATTCATGGTTTCCATTATTTTCCTCAGCTTCTCAATTATTATTGAATCTGTATCTGCTCTAGAGTTACTAATTGTGTCCTTCATTGTGCTTGCCAGCTCTGTAGTTACTTGAGAAATTATTTCTGATTTGATTTTTTCTAAAGTCTCATTCATTTGTTTTGCAACTTCCACTGTCACCATTTCAGAGAGTCTAAGGAGGCTTTGATTGCCCTCTGGATTTGCCTTTGGTTGGACGGACATCTGTGGTTCTTTCTTGTTTAAGTATCTTCTCCTTTTCTATTTTTGTTTTTAGCTTAATTCTTGGGGTTTATCCTTGTAAAAAGTCTATGGCCAGCAGCTTTATTGCTAGTATTTAGAGCCCTTAGGAAATGACTATTTCTCAGAGCATCTTCTAAGTGTAGCTGGTTTTTGGGTTTTGAATCTATTGCAAGATACTACTTCTTTAACTTATTGGGGCTGAGAAGTTGCTGCCTACTTGGCCAGGCCCTGGTTCTTGGCACTGGCCTAAGGTATTTTTATGGTACTTAGGCAATCTTAGTCTTGATATATCAGGAAGAACAACTGGTTGGAAGAATTGTGTCACTTTGGGTAATGTGGTAGAAGCAACAAAACAATAGATTCAAACAGCCTAGAAAACAACAAATAGGTAATTATTAATTTGCCACCTTTAACTGTATTGAAAAATTTTGTGGTTATATAACAAAACGTAAAGCAAACCAGAAAAAGGTATGTATTAAATATACCCTCAATATTGAAATTTTACTGTCAGGGGAGAAAATTTAAAATGAGTTGGGGGGATAGAGAAGAAGAAGGAGAAGGAGGAGGAGGAGGAGGAGGAGGAGAAGGAAAAGAAGGAGAAGGAGAAGGAGAAGGAGAGGGAAGAAAGAAGAAAGAAGAAAGGAGAAGAAGAGATTAGAAGAAGCAAGGCTGGAGGACAAACAAAGGTCACAAATTTTGGGAAATGGGTGAGGAAAACAGGTGGGAAATAGAGAAAGAACAATAAAAATAAGAACAAAACAGAATGATAACAGCAACAACAACAACAACAACAAAAACTAGAAACCACGCTCACACTCATGTAAAACTAAGAGCAAACCATGAAGAAGAAAAGAACCAAAACAAAATAAAAAAAGAAAGAAAAAGAATAAAAGAAAAAAACCATTTGAAGGTGTGCCTGTGATGTCACCGGTTTACAACCAGTGGGTAGATGATGTACCCCAGTGGGTAGAGTCCCAATCTGAGTTGATCAGTCCCAACAAGCTAGGGGCAGCTTCACGACAGGGTGGTGCACGTCTCAGCGACCCTGCACCTTTATTTCTATTGAAGTTGAGGCTGGTTTCTGGCTACGCTGCTGGACTCAGACTAACACACCCTGCAGCAGTCCGTGTGCCTTTTGCCAGCTGGAACTCAGCTGCTGGATGGAGCCTGCAGTTGCTCTGCATTCGGAGCTCACTGGCCCTGCTCCACTATGGCTCCTGGCCTGTCGCCCTCTCCCGCATGATGTCTGAACCCAAAAACCTCCCCAGCCGCTGCAGTGCTCTTTACTTGCTGCTGCTCCTGTTCCACCGGCGTGTTTCTCTGTGGAAGCCTCTAGGGTCACCAGTAGTCACCAAGTATCTGCAGGTCCAAGTCGCCCCACCCAGTCAGTGACTCTGGGCCCAGGGACAAAGCCCGGCCTGCAGTCACCTTTTCCTCCCTGTTCCCACAGGCCTGAATTCTGGCTTCAGATCTTTTCTGGGTTTGGGAACCCTCTTCCCTCCTTCGCTTCCTCATGTTGCTGTACTCCAGGGTCTGGCCAGAAAATTTCATAGAGGTTCTTCCTTTCCTGCTCACCAATCTGCCATCTTCCCGGAAGTCTCTATGTTACCATTTAAACTATTTTTCATGTTACTCTTTCTCATTCTCTCTGGATTTCATAATAATGTATATTTGTTTAACTATCTTCTACTATTTTCCTCAATATTTTCTTTCTCTTCTTAGTTTAAAAAATGAAACTGTACTTGTTCCACTTTCATTTCATCAGACAATTTCAATCAATCTTGCAGTAGTAATTTAATGGAGCCAAGGATGATCTTAGAATGTAAAAGAGGTTAATTTAGATGTTCATATGAAAGAAAAACAAAACAAAACGCTTTTCGTCTATATTTTCTAATAGGATTTACAGATATTTATAATGAACCCTTATTCACTGGTAATGAGCTATATGAAGATAGATAATGTTCAATCAATATTTTAGAAATGAAAATGAAAATGAATGTCTAGCTTATTTATGAGAAAATGTTTCCAGTACACAGTGAAGTATTAAAAATTGTAATACAAGGCATTTCACTTGTATCTTCATTTATTATTTAGAATTCCATCTAAAGAAAATATGGTTTTAGCAATTTAAAAAGAAGTAACTAAAAATCAGTCAAGAGCATTATCAAATACAAATGAAATATCAAAAATGAAGATTGCCTAAATATTCTGGAAATTTTACACTCCTTTTTGATATTAGAACATATTAAATTTATGTAGTGAAGCATACTATGATACTCCATTAATATACACATTTAAATAAATTTTAAAAATAAATGAAACTCTAAGTTCTATAGCATCTTCAATTTAAACTGATTAAAAAGACTGTTTCCTACTGAAAAGTTTGGTTAAATGCAATTATTCTTTTTAGTTAAATGAAAATTTAGATTGTGCACAAAATGGATGTCTGATTTAATAAAATATGTATTCAAGTATTACTTCATTTCTTCTAAATAAATTGTATAAATACTTATGAAATTATTGTGTGGCAAGTATCTGAAATGGAAAAATGTAAATTTTATCATTGTATACTCAAGATTTCAAGGTTGGATACACTGATATTGTTTATCTTATTAAATAGTGTTGAATATAAAAATCATTTTGGGAAGTATTTTTTATAAAAGTTATTTTTGTTTAACAGGAAGAATGCAACATTAATACAAAGTGAACATACATTTTGTGCTTTGCCTCATAACAACATCTTTTTCCTCTCACTTAATTCTACTTCATCTGGATCCTTTTACTTTTCAACAGGCTGAATTAAATGACCGAAGCGATCCCTTTACAAGATGCCGCACAAAAGTCCCATCAAATGCTAAAGAAGAGGTTTTCTCTAAGTTCATTGGGTGGAGAGTTGCCAACGCACTTTCCAAGCTATTGTTTCCGCCTCTTGATGTACATGCACTTCCTTTAAAGAAACCAGCAGCAAAGCAGGACCAAATGAAATATCGGAATAGAAAACAGGAATCCATGAAGAAGAGGGTTCTACATTTTACTATAAGGTAAGTCAAGCACTGTTAGTTCTGTTATTTTAATATACTACATTTCAAAATCACAAGACTTACAGATAATCATTTCACATTATTTACTTCAGTTTCTATCCTTCAGCTCAAATCCTGACTATATTATCTCCTAAACAGTTTATCCTGAGCAAAAAAAAGTTTATCCTGAGCAAGTTATTACCTCTTTAGAAATTGCTTCCCAAAGGATGAAAGAGATATTATATAATACAAAGCAAAGTTAATGTAATTCTTGTGAGAATATTAGATTAAAAATTGTCTCATTCAATATTCAAAATTTTAAGGTTGTATTTCCTGTACATATAGATATGTAGATACATATTTAAAGTGCATTTAATGCATTTTAGAGTTTTGAATATAATAAGCTTCCAAAAAGAAGTAGATATGTAGATATTTTTATTGTATTGTATATTTAAATCTTTTTAAAATGTCTTTAAACTTGTGTCTGAAGACTTCAGAAAGCTTTGTACTTAGGAAAGAATTATTGAATAGAATGTTTTTTAAATTTTCTCCAGCTTCTTAGAATCTTTGTTACCACTTAAGACATTTATATTTTCCATACTGACTCTCCTCTAACGATTTTAAAAAATAGATGAAAAATCATTCTGCTGGTGTATAGGACAGGCTATTTTTACATTTGTAAATCTTTCATTGAAGTTTTATTGAAGGTTTAAAGCTTTTGTTCTTTGGCCCAATTCATTTAAATAGTATATTGTGTAATGTACAGTCTGCCAAAATGTATAAATCATCAAAAGAACATCTTATGTAAAATCTGAGAACTAAATTTATTGAGACATCATGAGATTAGTACAAGTTACTTTTGACTGCTACAGTTACAAGGTGCTCAAAGTGGGGGCCAGGAGCTTCCAGGCATTTATTAGTACAGCAAACTGCTAAAACCTGTATACATTTTTTTTGCAGACTCTGTACTTTTTTCTGTGGATTTTAAAAAAATCAGAATGTAGTCAGAACTCTTGATATTTTGAGCAATTCATTTTTGCACGCTTTTCTTAGCAATGTTTTTGTGTTAGATTGAAATTGATAGCTATTAGATTATATTTTCATTTCCATTTTGCCTTTCCTGATTTCCTTTTTTTTTTTTTTTTTTCAAATTGTATTCCCTGTATCTGGTCCAGGGCTCAGAAATGATATTTGGTTTTGCCTTTGCATCTTCTCACCATCTAAATATTTTGTTTTTGGACTAGAAGAATTGAATCCATGAAGTAAACTTAGCTGGTCTAAATAGCTGCTGATAATATATCTATAAATTTAGATATAACTGTGTATTTTACTTACATTATTGAACATATATTTACTTAGGTACTTATTTTTCGATTGACTAAATTATTTTAGTTTTAAAAAGTCTAATAAATTTTTAAAAATATATTGTTTCTCCATCCATAAATGAGAAGTAATTTGGATGAATAGAAAAATCTTTATTGAAAGTCACTTACCCCTTTCTAATTATCACCTGTTTATTAATGTGTTTGAAAAGTCTTTAAGTACCTTAAAAGTATTATATATTTTTATTTTATTTGCAAGATCACCTCCTTTTCTGCTGATGAAAAAGAAATTTTATGATATTTTCTCAAGCTTTTAATTAAAAACACATCTGAATTCTATGCTCTAAAAGTGTAGCATGCAAACGTCCCTAGTGACTGAACCCCACATGCCTGCTTTCCCTTCATTCCTTCCTACCCTAGGTAACAGCATAAGTAATTCCTCAGTACCCTCTCTGGGTAAATAAAATGCATACCTGTGAAAGTATTCATAAAACTTAAATCTAAAATATTGTAAGTATTTTTAAATGTCTCTCCATTTCACATCAAAGATGGCATATTAAAATATCACTTACAGCTTCTAATATTTTTCTTTAGCCTCGTCACATTAGAAAGAAATTTCTGTTATCATGATCAGATTCTGTTTTAATGCCATGAGATGTTTCCTTAGCATGAATTTCAGCCATTTATTAAACCAGTTTTGTATTGGTTGGCATTTGGGTTGTTCAGATTGCTGCTATAGACAGGGCCACAAAAAGGAACCTTTTGATCTTTCTTCTTATCCATGTGGGAGAATTCCTGCAAGATAATATTAAAAAGTGTGGCTTCTGAGTCAACTTGTATATGGCTTTGTGATGTTGGGAGATACTTCTAGATTGACTTTTAGGAGAGTTATGCAAATTTATGCCTCCATTATAAACATGTAGAAGTAGTCAAACATTTGCGTTTTAGCCATTTGAGAGTTGAGATAGTGTTTTTCAATATTTTCTAATTCTAACAACAACTTACTCAGATATTCACCTCACTTTGAAATTTTAAATTTATTTCAAAAAGTTTACCATTGCTGTGATTTTGAGAATTAACATCTCTAACCCATGGCATGCATTCACTTATTCTTTTTTATTTTTTAAAGAGAATACAAAATCATCAAAGAAAAGGGAAAAAAAACATTAGGAAAATACACAATTTCACTGAACAAAATAATAGACGTTTGACAATGGTTCTTGTATTATTTAATATTATCTTCAAATTAGTTGTTTAGATTACCAGAAATAAACATGCAAAATTGGAGAAAAAAGAAAAGAAAAACAAAAAATTGCATCATTAACTGCTCCTATAAATTAGACTAGCAGAAATCAGCAGTACAATTATCCAACCTATCCTGAATATCTACATAAATATATCTTTTTCCTTTTCTTTTGTCCTTTTCCTCATCCCAACTTTTCCATCCCATTGGAGAGATTCAATCCCTTTAACTGTACCTATTGTACCTTTCAGATGTTATTTATTCTTTGAGGTTCATACACTAGTGAGACAATAAGATGTTTCCATATATATGGGTCTATTTACTTCATTTACAAATATGGTCACTAGGTGCATCAATTTAACTCTAAAAGCCTTGAGTTTGTCTTTTTTATAGCTGAGTAATACTCCATTGTGTAAACATATCACATCTTAAAAAATCTGTTTCTCAGTTGATGGGCATTTGGATTGTTTCCAAGATTCAGCTACAACAAATTGTGCTGCTATAAGCCTAAGGGTGCATAAATCACTGTAGTATGAAGTTTTCAATTCAGTTGGAAAAATACCTAGGAAGGGAATAGCTGGGTTGAATGAAACTTCTAATGCTAGCTTTTTGAGGAACCTCCACACTGATTTCCATAGTGGTTGTATCAGCCTGCACTCCCACCAACAGTGGAGAAGTGTTCCCTGTATTTAAGTGCATGCTGTTTGGTGGTTCCTTTCTGCTATTGTCCTTTGAGTTGTGGTCATTTTTGTCTCTTTCCAGAGTATCTGTCAGTATTCTTTGTATGGTTTGTTTGGTGTTCATGAGTTTCTTCAGTTGTTCTTTGTCATGGAAGTATCTTACGTATCCATTAAATTTAATAGACAGTTTCCCAGGGTGTATCAATCTCGGTTGTATTATTTTCTTGAAATACTTTACTAAAATACCTTTCTCCAAGCTCTTCTTAATTGATGGCTTGTGTTGAGAAATTGCCATGACTGATGAGATTGTAGGTCATCTGTTTCCTTCCTCTAATGGCTCTTAGTATTCTGTTCTTTTGATGACTTTCTAGAATCTTGATTATTGTTTCTGGATGTAGATTTACTTTGATTATGGATAACTGGAGTTGTATGTGCTTCACTTATCTGTAGGTCAGATTCTTTTCCCATGACTGGAAAATTTTCTGCTACTACTTCTGAAAATAATCTTTTTATTTCATTTGTGTTGACTCCTGAGGTTTCACTGATACAAATCATTTTTTTTTGCATCATCTTGTAGCTGTTACACTTTTATTTCTTGGTTCCTTGTTATTTTTAAGAGATCTTGCCTTTTGAGTTTATTAGCTTCATTGCTATCTTCATATGTGAAATTATGTCTTCAATTCAGATTTCAATGGAATTCTTAATTTCCTGGATATCTATTTGAATTTGTTTCATGCATTATAGTTCTTTCTTGTATTGTTTGTTCAATGTTTCCATCATTTTCCTATTCCCCTCTATTTTTTAAATCTATGTCTTCTTTAGATGTGCTGAGCAATTCTTTCATGGTTTTTGTCATTTCTTTTTCTTTACTTGGGAGATTATATCTGATATTATTTCTTCTGTAGCCTGATGGAATTGTTTCTTTACTTCAGTTGCTATCATTTCAGAAATTTCAAGTGCATGACTTCCAATTTCTTCTATGACCTTCTCTCCTGGACTTGTTCTGGGTGGGCTGGACATAGGAGATTGCCTTTTTTTCTCTTTCATTTTGACATTGTTTAAGCTCCCAGTGTTCACCTGGACTTAGCAGTGATGACAGGGGAACAGGGGTTGGGTGAGCAAGGCCACCACAACAGTGGGAGGGCAGAGTAGGGTTCTCAAGGTTCTTTCTACTTACTGGTGGGAGAAGTGGCCACAGATTAGCTGCAGCTAAGCCAAACTGGCAACAGTGGGGGGGGGGTGCTAGTGCAGAGCTTCTCTGGTCCCCGTAGGTTCCCTGTGCCTGCCTGCCTGCTATGATGTGCCTGCAGAGCTCCCATGGCAGGGGGCTATACATTTACTTTTATTCGGAATTTTTCCTGAGTTCGTCAGTAATGTTCATGTTTTCATATGTCTTGTGTTTTTCTTTGTACATTTATTGCTAAGTAATTTATGTGTTATGTTCCAAATACAATCCTTTCTTCAAACGTAGCTTCCCACAATTTGTTCCTTATATGTGTTCTAGCCTATTGTAGTCTATATGTTAATATTATACCCCACTCATTTAGTAAATTAACTGGTATTTTTTTTCAAGGTTCATAGTTTCATCAGTTACACATATAGTTTATTTGTGCTTTCTTGATTTTGTACCTATGCTTTTTTCCTCATGTATTTTAGGGTATCAAGTATGCTCTAGTCCTTAATAATACTGAATGTGCACATTTCATCACCCCCTTCTTTTAACTAAGAAAGCTTTTAGGGTTTTCCAGTTGCTCATGATGCTCATTTTAGGACTAT